AGGAAATAAGAGAGGAAAAGGAACACAAAAGGGACAAGGGACCTTGGAAAGTAAAAGAAAAAAAAATAATCCACGTCTGGCTATCTTCTTGTCGTTTTAGGAGAGGGTTTTTAACACCCTCAATCCCCCAGATGTTAGTATTTTACTGTGAGATGCCAAAGCTAGAGAACCTACCAAATTAAAGGTTTCTTGCGCGCTCGCGGGATTTTCTCCTCTGCGTGTGATAGTACACTACCTGAATAGCAGACACAGCGCAAGTAGTTTCCCACAGACTGTTTTTTGTTTTTATTCCTGGTGCGGCGACATCTCTGGGACGCAACCTGTGTCTCAGAGAGGAATTGTATGTATGACCGCGATAATTATCCCGGGAAGATTAAACACGTGGGCTCCGACCTCTTAATGGTCTCCGTTCTCTCTTGTAAATCAAATGCAAAATTCACATTTAGATACCGAACGTGAAATTAAGGTGTTTCTCTTGTGAATTACACGAAGCCGATGACCGCTGCCGCATTTAGTGCAAAGGGTAATTTATTTCTCATTCAAGAGCGAAAGCCTAAAAGATGCCAGAGGGAACGGAGCGCTCATTTTCGTATTAAGTTGTGTTCTTTATGTCTCAAGATAAAAGACGCCCTGGATTGGAAAACTACCTCGGCTTATTTATGGAATTGTTAGCCCACGTTAATAAAATAACAATCACGCCTGTTTGCTTAACTGAGCGCCACGCAAACAGGCTTTGCATTTAGAGTTTGGCTTAATTGCACCGGCTGAGAGGAGGGGAGGGAGGGCAGGATGGCTAGCCACCTATGGCCAGCGGCTATAAACAGACAGGCGATTTTCGGCACAATAGATTTATTTTTTTTTCTAGTGGTGAAGCACAGATTTGATACCATCACTTCCCTCCCTGCCCCCCGAAAGGATGTCAGCGGTTTTCTCCTGCGGTGTCGCCCGCTGTTTAAGGAACATGGAAAGCTGCATCCTGAGATGCAAAGAGCCGGGGCTGGGTGGCTGGTTTGGGAGTTACAGGGATACCGCTGTGATGTTGGAGCCAAAAGAAAGAGAGAGAAGCGAAGCTCTGACTATGTCTAAACATAAACAGCCCCGGGGCTGGAAAGCAGTTCACCTCCAGGTCTTTGAGAGGAGAGGGACAACCCACAGCGAATTGTTTGGGTCCACCTGGGCTTTGGCTAGGTCAAATGGTAGCCCCTCCGCCTACCGCTCCCATGTCATCTTTCTTTCTGACATCTCCGTAAATAAGGTTTTGCAAATGACCACACACGCGAAAGTCTCGCAGGGTTGCAAGACGAGCACGACTCCCCCCGGCCCGGGGCTGCCCGTCGGGGCTCCCGTCGGGGCTTCCCCCCTCCCGCCGCCGGCGCCTCTCGCCCGCCGTCGGGCAGGAGGGCGGCCACGGCCGGGGGGGACAGGCACGGTGGCCACGGCTGCTGCCATCCTGCCTCGTAGGGGGGGGTCAGAGCCAGGCGGTGCACCTCCAGTGTGGCTTTCCCGTCCGGAGGCCAGCCTGGACGGCAGGGCGAAGGCAGCTCGGTGGGGCGGGCGAAACCCCAGCGCAATGGGGGCTCTTTCTGGGTGGTATCCGAACACACCGCGGGGGGGGACACCACACGACACAGGGCACTGATCTTTCTGCCTCCCCAAACCCATTGTTTCCCCGTCCACACACAGAGAAAACCCCCCAAATCACTCCCTGAACCTTCACAATGGTGACTTTTGTACCTCGCGTAGAGAAACCAGAGTCCTGCTGGTTGGAGGTATGTAACCTAACACACGTTAGTAATTGCGTCAGTTCGCAATTATAGCATCAGAGTGGCTGTTGCAAAATA